TGGAAAAAGGCCTATCACCAACTTAAGAGTTTATTACATTTAGGGCAAAATGTTATTACATTTAGGACTTTATTACACCGTGCTCATCGTTCTGGCGACACCATGTCGCTGAGCGGGAGCCGATGCGCTGAGTGTCACTTTAATTACCCGACCTCACTTGTACTTTGTTATTTGTCTTGATGTCATTTAAGGTTAATTAATTTGAATGTAGGGTGGATATTAGATGTCGTGATAATGGTGAAGTCAAATATAAATGAAATCAATATTCTTTCCCCAGGTGCTATCGGAGACAACATTGTTAAAGTTTTCCTTGTCTGAAATACAATGAAGAACCAGTTTATCGTTTGCTCTGTTGATGATAGCATCGTTAGTTACCGAAGGCGACTTCCTTTCACGTCGCGGAGGGAAGAAAAAGGACGACTTGCACTCATCCATTGAAAGAAAAATGATAATAAAATTAGTATAAAATGTAAAACCTTAGACAAGATACTGCAACATTAAAGCTGTATAAGATCGCATATTTCAATTCTTAACAAATGTCAGTCATATATAGGACATTCAAAAACTTTAATAAAAGAATGGGGTTACCGTACTTGTTTTCGCCCTGCGTACCTGTAATTCTGGGTGTTTTTTCCCACTTGCGTGAGAAATGTTCGAAACTTAAACAGCCCGTCAAAAATTCTTATTCTATCCCAAAAATTATAAACCTTGCTAAAACCTTATGCCTGTTTGTTTGTCTGGGCTATATTTTTCTAGTTCACTGACCTAAAATTACCCAATCTTGTTAAAAAAAGGTAGAAAAATGGACAGTTTTAACATTATCTCCTACTTCCTCGTACCTCAATGCAGAAATTCGCGTCATACTTATCTAAAAAAATAAAACTTTTACCACCTAGAATTTTTTCTCCTTAAAATATATTTTTAGTGTAGTCCTAACGAGTAAAAAACACAAATAAAACAGGGAGGTCGCCGTTTACGTTTCATCGCAAAACGACAATAAAGGGACAATTTCGGCTTCAAATAATCATATTGCGCTTGGGGACTGAGGCGAGTTTTAAGGCAAACACCTTTGAGCAGGGATTAGAGCAGGGAAGAGTTTTAATATGAAAATCGCTATCGAAAGCATTTGGACTACAAAAATGGCTTTTGTTACCTCTTTTTAGGTGACCGGTAAAAATCACCGCTACCTTATCCACACTAAATGATGCAAAGTGCAAAACCAGGGAATTGCCTTATTAAGCTTTTCATATGACCAAAGCGAGTTCTAAATACCCGGTATCCAAAACAAGTAGAAGCCTCGTGGAGGAGTTACGGTTAGGGCTAATTTCCACAAGTTGCTCGGCAACTTTTTGGCAACTTCTCGTATTTCGAGCAACTTTTTTCGTTTCGGGCAACTTTTTGCATTCTGAGCAATTTCTCTAGTTATCTTCTAATTCTGAGATATCGGAGCAGCTTGGCCTTTCTTCCATATTTCACAATGTTTTAGTAGACAATATTTGAATTTCCTGTAAGAAAGGAGCCAAACCCTCGCCCCCTGGGTCAGATCATGGGCGCAAGATAAAAGCAGCCGGGCTACTCGGTCAGCGGTTTTTAGAGAAAATTCAAAATGGTTGACGAAGAGTCATACTCGACTGACTTGAGTGTCTCGGGTGAAAAAGGTCATTCAACAATTTTATTGACTCATTACATTTTTTGGTTTTATTGAGGATAAAGTTATTTAGCAAAGCTGGTTACGCTGCAAAATTGCACAAAAATGCTTAGAAATCTTACTTTTGTTGTACAATTTGCATATTTTTAGCATCAGACCAAAAATCGAGCAACTTTCGATACAAAAGCAACTTTTTGGAAAATCTCGAACATCTTGTGGAAATCCCTAGATTCGGTGTTTGCTTATGTATATGTTGTGGGGGGAGCTTGAGGGGGGGGGGGGTCGGGAGAGGAAGAGCGGAAAGGAGTGTGGTCAAACAGAATTATTTTCTACTTTTTTCGGCTGTTGCTTGCGCTGCAGATGGGTCTGAAAGAGAGCGAAACAGAGGGTGCTTACAATGAATGTTATGACTGTTTTAAATCTTCCGAGTAAGCTTTATTATGCATGCAGCAGCTCATAAAAGGTTTGCCTCTGATTGATTTATTCTTATTTCACTATTTCCTGTTAAGTATAAGACTTTACGTTTTAAGTTGTCATGTTGATGTTATGATCCATGGTCGTTGGTTGCCAGCCGTTGTTTTTCTTATGTCGCCCTCTTTTCTTCCATAAGGTCATCGGCTACGTGTTGCTCTACATTCCCGTAGCCAAAACTTTCTGCAGCACAAGAAACCCTCTTTGTCTCCTGATATCATTAGGCAGGAAAAAAGAAAAAAAACGCAGACAAATTAAATTAAAATTTCAAATTAAAAATTATGTCTATAGGTGGCTTCTTTGTTAGGTGCTATTCCTAAACACTTGGGCTCTCTGTTACATGGTGAATCATCTCATGTGGAATTTTATTTCAGGTTTTAATTAACCGTTCTTTTCAACTGGCTATTTTGAGCAATTTGCAACGATGAAAGATTGGAATTAAAATAACGTACCATAAGTATCACGAAAAAATCAATGTCTGAAGCCAAAGAGTTAGCCAGTGAATACCGTATTGTACTCCTAAATTGCTACTCTGGGAGCCCCGGTCATCATGACGGCACGTCGCGAAAAAGCATTAAGGCAGCCTCGTTTTAAAAATTAACGTCCATAAAAAAACAATTTCAATTAAGGTTTACCTCAAAGTTGCGTTAGCGTCATTGCAGAGAAAGCGATTTATCATACATGCTCTCATTTTAAACTCCAAGGTCGAGTCATTTTTTTTCAGGAAGGCATGTGCACCAGCTGTTTCAGTCGGGAAAATAAAAGAATACAGCATCAATTTACTTTTACCCTGGATCTCTGAAGCTCAGTAATGTACAGCCGGTCACAAGAGTGTAACTTGTACCCAACTGAAATATAAATATTGTCGTGTTCCTTGAAATCATTGTTTTTTAGTAAAAGAGAAGAAGACGTTTTACTTTAATGATCATAGAATAATTAGCCAGTTGTCCTGTGGGAAATTTCCACTTCGCTGAAATCTCACTATGTTTTCTTTATTACAAAAGTCCCCTTCGTAGAATTTTTTAAATCACCGGGTATTTTCCTTTTCTAATGCCAAAAGCTATTCGTCTAAAAAAAAGTGGGGTCAGCTAACATTGCTGGATGCTGTAAGGTGGATCTTAATATTCCTTCAAATACCTTGCGATAGTATTAGTAACCACCAATGACGAAATAATAATTAAAGGAGCTGTGTCACGAAATTCAGCCAAATTAGGAAACCACAAAATGCCCGTCAAATTAAGAGAAACATAAAAATAACCGCTTAAAAATTTAAAGGAAGGTTAAAATAACATAACAGGCACAAGAGATGTCACGGATAGGCAAACTGAAGAAGATTGAAACTGATTGAAATTAGGATTTTTGAAAACTGTTCAGCCTAACAGTGTTTCAAAGTTGATCCCTGCGGCTTGCAACTTCAAAAATAATGCTCAGGAGACATATTTGTTTGTCTCAAGTCTCTGATTTTGTCATTTACATGTAATTTCTTTGCTTACTTTAAGTTCCATAGCGATTGAAGGCGAGTAATTGGCAAAATTAAACAAAATGAACTGGACTGCCGTGGCACAGCCCCTTTAAGCACTCATTTTGTAATCTAGCTCTACAAAGGTGCTGCCATGGCTTTGGCTTATACTTATCTGCTCTTTCCTTTCAATGTCAAAGCCGTCAAAATAGGTGAAAACAGGTACGATTTACCTTAACAAGGCATTCTTGATTGTAGTTAAATAAACTGAACTCAGTTTCCTTCCTAAATGCTGTCGGCGAGTCGATCAAAATGCCTAACTTCCCGTCGGGATTCCTGAATCGTAACAACTTCGTAGGATTTTGTGCAGTTTCAGGATACTTACCAAACAACGTAAGCTAAAATGACTCCAACATGAACATTAGACAAACTGTTTTTCGACTATAAAATTCTGTGTATTTTAATCTGTTTTTAATCAGTTAATTTAACCTCTGTTCATTTGAATTTTAAGCGAAAAAACCTTCCTTCTTAGTTTACGATGTATTTAAGGGTTTTAAGCTCGTCATTAACTAAAACTATTGCCTTCATTTTCTATTCCTAAAATTAACCGAACATACAGTACTGTATATTAGTTAACTATGATGGCCTACACAGAACTGTCACTAGGAAATATCTAGATAACTCACAGGCAGGGAAACGTCAACGCTTGCATGAGGAGATTGTCAATGGGGTTAGCCGATAGGCGTAAAACAGCCGTTAGCCGTAAATAGGGTAAAAAGATGTTCCCCAGTGTTGATTTCAAGGAAGGCGCTAAACTCCCTTATGACAGATTGCGCGTTTCTTATTTTGCGGCTACTTTGACTCTGTACGCAGCACGTTAGGCCAAGCAGGCCAAGCACCCCTTCAGGACCGCTGGTAGCCTGCGTGGCAGGCGTTTGAAAAGGAACAGGAAGAGCATTCCGGGGGGGCGGTCTAGCGCAACTTTCCTTCACCTTCCCTTTCGAGCGCCTGCCACGCAGGCTATGCTATGGCTAGCCTCCCACGCAGACGTTCTTTTGGCTCGTCACGCAATCCTCCCCAACGTAGGGAAGGAACGCATGACGAAGCCCTAATAAGTGACCAACAATTTTACGCATGAGCAGAATATTATTTGCAGCCAAACAGAGTTGGACGACATTGCACATAAGCCGACACATTATTTGTGTAGTCAGTTATTTGTAGGTCACGTGGTGGGCTCTTGGCCAATGAAAAGGAAGAAACATTTGCATCGAAGTAATAATATCAATTATCACGCCCTTCCTGTACAAAAAGCAGTCTAAGTTGACAAAGATTCTCACAGATGTTTGGTATATTACATTCTCTCAACCCAAAGATGGACTCGTGACCAGTGGTAGTAAAGAGGGCAAATCTGCACTGTTATTTGATAGTTGATTACATGAGGCGACTGCTTAACTGGGGACATTGATGAAAAAAACCCTGGGGCGGAACTCAACAATTTTTTCTACGAAAAGGCTCCGACCAGAGGTCCGACCCTTTATCCTTTTATATGCCATTTTTGACATAAAAGGTACCCTTTTCATATACCTTCTATTGACAAATTGTACCCAGTTTCACGTATCTATTAAAGAAATTTGCGTCTTCTTTTAACTTCTTTAAAAGCACTATCTTTAAAATCTAAATAAATCACAGACCAGAACGTTTTTTGGTTCTTTTTCTTTTTTTTTTTTTTACTTTTTCACAGCCATAAAAGACATAAAAACATCTCACAGGCCTTTTGAGTCCTTTTACAGACCGAAATAAGAGATTTCTCTACTCCCTCATATAGTTGAATGAAGAGTGAAAAAAGGTGCCTCTTTCGAGCCGAGCCTTCCCGTATATAAAGCCATTATCAGAGAATCCCCCCCCACCGGAGTTTTAGTTTTTGTCTCTTAACTATTTAAGACCCTTGATCATGAACAGGCTATTCGTAACCAGTCTCCTTAGTTTTCAGTGGTTACCTGCTGATCTTCTACTTTGTCACATTTATGCCTTTTTCGTTTTTAAAATACAAACATCTGCCTTGTAACCAGAAGCATATGGCAATTTTTGGAAAAACTTTCAAAGCAATGTTAAGTATTATTGGGAACTAGCAAAGAACAAAATTATTATCGATTACAATACTTGTTTCAGCGAGAGAAAGAAAACATTCTCTTGGTCTTGGTTAAAATAGAAGGATTTGGAGGCTGTATTCATTAAAAATTTCTATGCCAAGGACAAAAGGATTTTTGCTAACACTGCAGAACGTAAAATACCATACAATATTATAATTTGATTTTAACTCGAAAATAAATAATACAAAAGCTGTGATACGACTTTGAGACCTCATTTTCAAAACGACTGTGATCCAGAAAAAAACAACCTGAGTGGAAGGAATATATTTGATTTTTTTTAGGGTGGTGGTTAAGGGCAGGTAAGTGGGAAGCAGGGAATTTGTTATTATGGGACTTTGTTGTTTCGTTTGCCTGTCGATTGCCCTGTGAAGCGAGAAGCGCGGAAGTAGAAGGGGCGGAGCTTACAACCGCAATTTTACTGGTAGGACTTTTTAAAATCTGCCAACTAAGAACTAACCATAGTCTGACTCATAAAGAAGCCCAGATAAAAGTTTACCATTAATCGCTTTTATTCATTAATTATCGCACTTTCTATGGTTTACAGTTTCTTGTTGGAATGTTACAGTTGACATTTATATTTTATGTTTTAATCCGCGGTTAGTCCAATCATTGGATGGCTGTCATCAGCGTTCTTTTACTTCACGTCGAGCCCTCCCTTCTTTCATGGGGTCATCAGCCACTTCTTGTTCTATATTCCTGCAGCCAAGGCTTCTTGCTGCACGGCAAATCTGCATTGTCCTCTGATTGAGTTGTTAGGAGTAAAAAAGAAAAAATTGCCCAAATCAGGTAAAATATCAAATCAATACCTGTGTCTATAAGAGGCATGGAAGCAGCTATCCATGGCTGCCACTGCCCGGGGATATGGCGGTGTGCATCTTTGAGGTACTGACCAGGCCGAGGGTTGGTGTATGTGTGCCCCTTGCTTTTTGTTTGTGTCACGGAAATGGGTTATTTCCGAGTTACGTTGCTCGAGGCGGTTTCAAAGCAACTAGACACAATAGAAAACTCCCAAAGCACAAACTCAGCGAAAACGCAAAAAATCTTTGAATTTTGATAAAAGTGGAAGGCTTTGAACCTACTATGCAAGGCATTTTCTATACAGTAAATCTCTATTACCTTCTTAGCAGCAGAAAGTTGACAAATTGACGGACCGGACTTGGGTTTGCGGTAATAAAGAATTTTTATTTCATTGTCTCTTTTTGAGTCAGCAAGACACGGCCTAACCTCAGTTATACTCTTTCTTATTTTCGTGGTTGTATTTCGGGCAGGGGATAAAAATTTCTAAATTAATAATTGGGGTATCTGCATGTCAAGTAAAGTGAAGAGTTGTGAACTGGTGTTCGAGTTTGTTATTCTCATATACCCAGCAGCTAAATGTAGCCTGATTCAGTTGATGGCCCTCTTAAAAGCTGCCTTGAGAAAACCAATACTATTTCTTCACGGCTGCCATTTTGTTTTCTCGGCATGTGCAAAACAATTACACTCTGCATGAGTCCAATTTATTTTTTTCATATCACGGTTAATTTATCTGATCGAGAAACTGAAAATAGAACACATTGAAACTTTGCATATTTAAGATATATCCATGTGTATTAAGCCAGCGGGTCCATCCTTCAACGAATGGTCATTGGTCTTTTTAAGTTCCCGCATCTCAGTTTATGACTGCTTTTAAGAAAGGTGATTTAGCTTTTATCGTTCATAAGAATATTATCTTGTTTCTGGTTAATAAACTAGTGCTGTTTCTTACCTCAATTAAACGAACATAAACTAGAATTGCAGCTAGCACATCAACCATATGTTCGCGGTGTGTGAATAGTATCTGAATCAGTTGGGACTTCAGGCCCTGAGTTTCAGGTATAAATGGCATCTGGGTGTCTGACCTTTAGTAGGGCGTTAATTAAAAAACTGTTTTGAGTGGTTCACGCTAAAAGCATTGCAAATCTTTGTAAACTCTCGCGTTTATACAGCCACTGAATTGTTAGACTGTACTTTTGCACACCATATCCCAACCTTGGTAAATTAACAATTATTCAATGAATTTGAGCGAAATATCGTGATTTGTCAGTGGCGAACAGATCAATTATTTGCCAAAGTCGAAGGCTGAAGCAAATGATTGATCTGTTTTATCACTGATTCGATCACCGAAGTTGTTTTTTAATGAATATCTTCGGGAAACGAAGCGATCTGCCATTTTTACGCAAGAGCGATCACAAGAAGGAGAAAAGCGTGGCTTCATTTAAGCATGAGCAGAATATCAATTGCAGCCAAACTTACCCAAACACTTGAGCCAAACCACAAAGGAGACTTTTGTCTGCGCATGCTCTAACTTTTCTCGGGTTTTCGTACTTTTCACAGAACAGGCAAATTTGAGCGGCAGAAATTGATCACCTCAACTTCGAAGGAGCCGATTATCCTTCAACAGGTCGTCGGTAAGCCAGGTAAAGGACATTAACATTAAAAAAACTCAACGCGAAGACAGAAAAGCATGTTTCAAGTTCTTTACGGTATGTTTTCGGTCGATAAAGCTCTGCTTGTAGACACATAATATCAACAAAGATGACGGTCTCACCACAACAATGCTTCGGCGCACAATCTTGGAGTCATTTTTATGTGACCCAAGGCGGTTCCTCAGGACTTAATCGACCCTAACAAAAAGGAGAAGGTCTATTGTGGTAAGTACAATGCATTACGTGGTTTCTAGCCCTTGTATTTTAAATTTTTCTCGTCTTGTCATGCTGCTGGCGAAAAAGCCACGCTATTCGCATTTTAAAATCAAAGTGCCGATAAACAACAAGTTCTTAAGAGCTCAGTTTTCCTCATTTCTTCTTTGAATTCGAGCGCAGCATTGTAATAAAGTTATTGTATCATATTCTGGGCACAGCTATCGTTTGGCGTTAATCCTTGTGATTTTACAGCAAGGCTTAGGCTGGGATTTATTAAGTTAAGTTTAGTCTTCGTGAAAATTGAAATTTGGGTTCCAACCCTTGAGACTTTTGTGTTCGTTTTTGATATGAAAATTCCAATCAATGAGTAACTCTTTCATGTATACACTATCTGCTGTCAAAATTTAGTACCTTTTTATGGTGTTCCGTAATATACAAAAAGTGGTGTGAAGGTCGTGCGGTTGAAATCCAATTTATGAAATGCTGCTTGTAGGGCATCGAGTTTTGAAGAGATAAAAATGAGCGGAATTGCTGTGAAATGTATATTTGATAAAAGGTAACTGGAAGATTATTTCAGCCAAGTTTTGTTTTCTTGGGGGTATGGAACCAAATATTTCAGCATTTTAGTTAACAATGCTCAATCGAAAGGCGTTTTCAGAGGCGGATTTACATTGACCATCCCGAGGTTCCCCCTAAATATCCAAAAACTAAGTTGTGATATGTGAATCCGCTTTCACAGGTGAAACTACATTTACTCTGCTACAACTTGGCATAAAAAAGATATTGTTTCTGATGGTCTTGTTGCTCAAAATTGAGCTTGAAGCGGGATCTTTTACTATCAAAATTGCTCATTCGTAAGTGATGGCGTGACATCAATTTCCTTCGAACCATTCCGAGTATCTAAAAGAGGAACAAATAAGCGGACTTTGTTGTTTCGTTTGCCTGTCGATTGCCCTGTGAAGCGAAGAACGCGGAAGTAGGATGGGGCGGAGCTTACAACTGCAATTTTACTGGTAGGACTTTTTAAAATCTGCCAACTAAGAACTAACTATTTTTGGACTCATAAACAAACCCAGAGAAAGGTTCAACATTAATCGCTTTTATTCATTAATTATCGCACTTTGTAGGATTTACAGTTTCTTGTTCAAATGTTAGAGTTGACATTTATATTTTATGTTTTAATCCGCGGTTAGTCCGATCATTGGATGGCTGTCATCAGTGTTCTTTTACTTCACGCCGAGCCCATCCTTCTTTCATGGGGTCATCCACCACTTCTTGTTCTATATTCCTGCAACCAAGGCTTCTTGCTGCACGGCAAATCTGCATTGTCCTCTGATTGAGTTGTTAGGGGTAAAAAAGAAAAAAATTGACAAAATCAGGTAAAATATCAAATCAATACCTCTGTATATAAGAGGCATGGAAACAGGCTCCCCATGGCTGCCACTGCCCGGGGATATGGCGGTGTGCATCTTTGAGATTTGTGGAATTTTTTTTTCAGGTTTTAATTAACCGTTCTTTTCAACTGGCTATTTTGAGCAATTTGCAACGATGAAAGGTTGGAATTAAATAACCTACCATAAGTATCACGAAAAAATCAATCTCTGAAGCCAGAGAGTTAGCCAGGAAATACTGTATTGTACTCCTAAATTGCTACTCTGGGAGCCCCGAGAGAGCTTGCTAGCAGGCTACTATTCATAAAATCGCAGACAATTCACTACAAGACCACAGCAAAGATCGCCGCTCTTGTAGCGCGACAAATCGCGCGATAAAATTGCTCGTGTAAACTGCCCTGCAGGTGATCTGATTTCAAGGACAAAATTTCAGGGAGTGCGAATATTACGGTACCTTTGCGGGTTGAAAACATTCGCCTTCCGTAACCAACGATGCGATCATCAACAGAGCAAAAACAAGGAGAAACGGGCTCTTCATTTTCCAAGGCAAGAAAAACACCCTGTCGTTAAACAAACCTTTCTTCGTAAAGGACGTAAAGCGAAGCAGCATTCGTCCTTATATAGGATTTTCTACCGTCATCATGACGGCACGAAAATTAAAGCATTAAGGCAGCCTCGTTTTAAAAATTAACATCCATAAAAAAATCAATTTCAATTAACGTTTACCTCAAAGTTGAGTTAGCGTCATTGCAGAGAAAGCGATTTATCACAAATGCTCTCATTTTAAACTCTAAGGTCGAGTCATTTTTTTTCAGGAAGGCATGTGCACCAGCTGTTTCAGTCGGGAAAATAGAAGAATACAGCATCAATTTAGTTTTATCCTGGATCTCTGAAGCTCAGTAATGTACAGCCGGTCACAAGAGTGTAACTTGTACCCAACTGAAATATGTATTGTCGTGTTCCTTGAAATCACTGTTTTTTAGTAAAAGAGAAGAAGACGTTTTACTTTAATGATCAGAGAATAATTAAGCAGTTGTCCTGTGGAAAATTTCCACTTCGCTGAAATGTCCTTTTTTTCTTTATTACAAAAGTCTGCTTCGTAGAATTTTTTAAATCACCGGGTATTTTCCTTTTCTAATGCCAAAAGCTATTCGTCTAAAAAAAAGTGGGGTCAGCTAACATTGCTGGATGCTGTAAGGTGGATCTGAATATTCCTTCAAATACCTTGCGATAGTATTAGTAACCACCAATGACGAAATAATAATTAAAGGAGCTGTGTCACGAAATTCAGCCAAATTAGGAAACCACAACATGCCCGTCAAATTAAGAGAAACATAAAAATAACCGCTTAAAATTTTAAAGGAAGGTTAAAATAACATAACAGGAACAAGAGATGTCACGGATAGGCAAACTGAAGAAGATTGAAACGGACTGAAATTAGGATTTTTGAAAACTGTTCAGCCTAACAGTGTTTCAAAGTTGATCCCTGCGGCTTGCAACTTCAAAAATAATGCTCAGGAGACATATTTGTTTGTCTCAAGTCTCTGATTTTGTCATTTACATGTAATGTCTTTGCTTACTTTAAGTTCCATAGCGATTGAGGGCGAGTAATTGGCAAAATTAAACAAAATGAACTGGACTGCCGTGGCACAGCCCCTTTAAGCACTCATTTTGTAATCTAGCTCTACAAAGGTGCAGCTATGGCTTTGGCTTATACTTATCTGCTCTTTCCTTTCAATGTCAAAGCCGTCAAAATAGGTGAAAACAGGTACGATTTACCTTAACAAGGCATTCTTGATTGTAGTTAAATAAACTGAACTCAGTTTCCTTCCTAAATGCTGTCGGCGAGTCGATCAAAATACCTAACTTCCTGTCGGGATTCCTGAATCGTAACAACTTCGTAGGATTTTGTGCAGTTTCAGGATACTTACCAAACAACGTAAGCTAAAATGACTCCAACATGAACATTAGACAAACTGTTTTTCGACTATAAAATTCTGTGTATTTTAATCTGTTTTTAATCAGTTAATTTAACCTCTGTTCATGCATTTGAATTTTTAAGCGAAAAATCTTCCTTCTTAGTTTACGATGTATTTAAGGGCTTTAAGCTCGTCATTAACTAAAACTATTGCCTTCATTTTCTATCCCTAAAATTAACCGAACATAAATTAGTTAACTATGATGGCCTACAGAGAACTGTCATAAGGAAATTTCTAGATAACTCACAGGTAGTGAGAAGTCAACGCTTGCATGAGGAGATTCTCAATGGGGTTAGCCGATAGGCGTAAAACAGCCGTTAGCCGTAAATAGGGTAAAAAGAGTTAACCGAAAAAAGATGTTCCCCAGTGTTAATTTCAAGGAAAGCGCTAAACTCCCTTATGACAAATTGCGCGTTTCTTATTTTGCGGCTACTTTTACTCTGTACGCAGCACGTTAGGCCAAGCAGGCCAAGCACCCCTTCAGGACCGCTGGTAGCCTGCGTGGCAGGCGTTTGAAAAGGAACAGGAAGAGCATTCCGGGGGGGCGGTCTAGCGCAACTTTCCTTCACCTTCCCTTTCGAGCGCCTGCCACGCAGGCTATGCTATGGCTAGCCTCCCACGCAGACGTTCTTTTGGCTCGTCACGCAATCCTCCCCAACGTAGGGAAGGAACGCATGACGAAGCCCTAATAAGTGACCAACAATTTCACGCATGAGCAGAATATTATTTGCAGCCAAACAGAGTTGGACGACATTGCACATAAGCCGACACATTATTTGTGTAGTCAGTTATTTGTAGGTCACGTGGTGGGCTCTTGGCCAATGAAAAGAAAGAAACATTTGCATCGAAGTAATATATCAATTATCACGCCCTTCCTGTACAAAAAGCAGTCTAAGTTGACAAAGATTCTCACAGATGTTTGGTATATTACATTCTCTCAACCCAAAGATGGACTCGTGACCAGTGGTAGTAAAGAGGGCAAATCTGCACTGTTATTTGATAGTTGATTACATGAGGCGACTGCTTAACTGGGGACATTGATGAAAAAAACCCTGGGGCGGAACTCAACAATTTTTTCTACGAAAAGGCTCCGACCAGAGGTCCGACCCCTTATCCTTTTATATGCCATTTTTGACATAAAAGGTACCCTTTTCATATACCTTCTATTGACAAATTGTACCCAGTTTCACGTATCTATTAAAGAAATTTGCGTCTTCTTTTAACTTCTTTAAAAGCACTATCTTTAAAATCTAAATAAATCCCAGACCAGAACGTTTTTTGGTTCTTTTTCTTTCTTTTTTTTTACTTTTTCACAGCCATAAAAGACATAAAAACATCTCACAGGCCTTTTGAGTCCTTTTACAGACCGAAATAAGAGATTTCTCTACTCCTTCATATAGTTGAATGAAGAGTGAAAAAAGGTGCCTCTTTCGAGCCGAGCCTTCCCGTATAGAGAATCCCCCCACCGGAGTTTTAGTATTTGTCTCTTAACTATTTAAGACCCTTGATCATGAACAGGCTATTCGTAACCAGTCTCCTTAGTTTTCAGTGGTTACCTACTGATCTTCTACTTTGTCACATTTATGCCTTTTTCGTTTTTAAAATACAAACATCTGCCTTGTAACCAGAAGCATATGGCAATTTTTGGAAAAACTTTCAAAGCAATGTAAAGTATTATTGGGAACTAGCAAAGAACAAAATTATTATCGATTACAATACTTGTTTCAGCGAGAGAAAGAAAACATTCTCTTGGTCTTGGTTAAAATAGAAGGATTTGGAGGCTGTAATAATTAAAAATTTCTATGGCAAGGACAAAAGGATTTTTGCTAACCCTGCAGAACGTAAAATACCATACAACATTATAATTTGATTTTAACTCGAAAATAAATAATACAAAAGCTGTGATACGACTTTGAGAGCTCATTTTCAAAACGACTGTGATCCAGAAAAAAACAACCTGAGTGGAAGGAATATATTTGACTTTTTTTAGGGTGGTGGTTAAGGGCAGGTAAGTGGGAAGGAGGGAATTTTTTATTAGCGGACTTTGTTGTTTCGTTTGCCTGTCGATTGCCCTGTGAAGCGAGAAGCGCGGAAGTAGAAGGGGCGGAGCTTACAACCGCAATTTTACTGGTAGGACTTTTTAAAATCTGCCAACTAAGAACTAACCATTGTCTGACTCATAAAGAAGCCCAGATAAAGGTTTACCATTAATCGCTTTTATTCATTAATTATTGCACTTTTTACGATTTACAGTTTCTTGTTCGAATGTTAGAGTTGACATTTATATTTTATGTTTTAAGCCGCGGTTAGTCCGATCATTGGTTGGCTGTCATCAGCGTTCTTCTACTTCACGTCGAGCCCTCCCTTCTTTCATGGGGTCATCAGCCACTTCTTGTTCTATATTCTTGCAGCCAAGGCTTCTTGCTGCACGGCAAATCTGCATTGTCCTCTGATAGAGTTGTTAGGGATAAAAAAAACATTTGAAAAAATCAGGTAAAATATCAAATCGATACCTGTGTCTATAAGAGGCATGGAAACAGCTATCCATGGCCGCCACTGCCCGGGGATATGGCAATGTGCATCTTTGAGGTACTGGCCAGGCCGAGGGTTGGTGTATGTGTGCCCCTTGCTTTTTTTTTGTGTCACGGAAATGGGTTATTTCCGAGTTACGTTGCTCAAGGCGGTTTCAAATCAACTAGACACAATAGAAAACTCCCAAAGCACAAACTCAGCCAAAACGCTAAAAATCTTCAATGTTTACTCAAGTTTGGGCTTATAGAAGATAATGTCACAGTTTTTCAATGCCCATGGAATTCATAATCCGGGTAGTTAGTTAATCATTTGTGGCCCTGAAAAAATTTGAAGGAAAAAAACTACGAGTTTTTTAAAAAATGCTTTTTTCGTGAGAAGGACTCCTAAACGCTGACAAACGTCAACAAATAGCTAAAACTATCATTTCTATATGTTTGCATTGCTCGAATTCGCGCGCATTTATAACGCCCTAATCCTTTTTGCTGACTTGTAAGGACCCATCTGTTATAAAGATTCCCAAAATAGAGGGGTAAATCTGATAGTTTATTAGATATAATTGTGTAAAGTTTGCTTATCATTTTCACATTAATTATGACCTAAATTTGGAAACCGCTGAATTTCTCGCATTGGTTCTTTACCATTTTCGTGAAACTCTGGTCAACGCAAGGCACTAATGTTAACTATATGTCCACGAGAGATTTTCACGAAGAAATGTCGGCAACAGCAGAATTTCGTCTCAGACCACAAAGAGGAGTGGCACTATAACCACGTGACATTTACCCCGATCGCCAAAAATTTTATGCTATATTGTAGATTGATCAAAATGTTATCCATGCTATATGTTAGACTTATGACCAAAGTAACGGTGGGGATACCAGAGAGCTTCAATTAGGATGGTGCCCTCACAAAATAACTGGGTCGGGTCACCTTAAATAATATATGAATAATTCTCATGCAAATAAATCTCATTTTCACAGGAAAGGTTTTACACTTATCCTCGTTTTGAAAGTGAGAGTTTTGGAAAATCGGAAATGGCTTATCCTATATGCTTTTTCCGTGCGTTGGTTTTTTTAGTAAATCGGTTGGAAATAATTGTCTAAGTCGTATTAGAATGTTTTCGTTCCAGTATATTACCTTTCCCCCTCTCCCCGGAATAGGGCCAGTAATGCAATCGCCTTCCATAATCAACGATGCTATCATCAAAAGAGCTGCAAAAGCAAAGATAAACTGGCTCTTCATTTTCCAAGACAATAGGAAATACAGCAGTGCTTTTATCTTTCCTTAGAAAAACCTTTCTTTGTAAAGAGAGGAACTTGCAAGCCCTTATATATAAATTTCTCTCGTCTTAATGACGTCATTGAACAGCATTAAACCTTCCATGTTTAAAAAGTTACCGTCCGTCTACTGCCTTAATTAAGTTTAAATGATGTGGTGAAATAGAATCTAATAATGCATTAGTTTTATTGCAGAAGGAATGATTTATCATGCTCTGCGGCGATTCAAAAACACGAATTAAACTCGAAAGCATGATGAATTATTTTCCTTGTAATGTTGTTTTCTTGGTTTCGTTTCTAGGTTAATGGTTTCTCGTTCCTGATGAAAACAGGGCCGGTCGGCTAGCCTGTAGTCTCCTATGCTGACATCCTTACTCTTCGCATGTTCTTCTCCTTCCCTACCCTGCAAACTCTGTGAGCATGAATACACTGACATTCAGTGGCAGTCAAGACAGCACATGAGTAAACTGTGATCTTATAGAGTTCAGATTTTACAAGCACAAAAACGCGGGTGGCATTTTATGAAATCTTGAAGCATTTTACAAGAAAACAAGTGCGATGACTCACTGTTTTTATTGCGTCAATTAATATTTTGTTAGAGTTCAGAGGAAACGTCCGAAAAAAGAGTAAAAATTCAAAGGGAAAACATTGCCACTAGGCGCAATTATGTCCTGTTTTTCACTTTACAAAAAATCCACCGAAATCACCCTGTATGCCAAACTTCTCAGTCTAAAAAAAAAAAAAAGTAATAAGAAAAGAAAAAGCAGGGATCACAGGTTTGCTGAATGCTAAAAGGTGGGTCTAGATAATTCTTCAAATACGTTGTTGTGGTAACCGCTTATGTCGAAAAAACAATTAATCAATTCAAGCGCTCTTGCATAATCACCTCTACAAAGCTGTGCTGCTATTGACCACTCCAGAAAATACCATGACATACCATAATGCTCTTTGTTTGTCACCCCAAAATTTTGCATAAGTATTGTCTTCAGTTTCTCTTGAGAGTTAAAATGGCCCGAAGAGAAACTGAAAACAATGCTTATGCAAAATTTTGGGGTGACAAACAAAGAGCATTATGGTATGTCATGGTATTTTCTGGAGTGGTCAATTGCTTTGGCTTGCTCATTTGTTCTTTTCTTTCAAAGTTAAGCCGTCGAAACAGGCATAGGCGTACGAGAAATTTTTTGCCAGGGCGCGCGGTAAACCATTTGCCCAAAAAAATCTTTCAAGTTGCCCAAATTTTTACGAAAGCGTCGAGAAGAAATGAGGGCCATATTACAACTACATAGGCCGTCCTGGCATATGAAGGTGGCTCGATACGTCACCGTAAACAAACATTTGGAAAAATTGCGACCACAGTTGTATTAAGATGACAATTTGTCATCATCAGGGCTGCAATGACATCGGAGTTGTCATAGCAACGAAATGACCCCACTACCTATTCTACTTCAGCAATGATTCTCGGCACGGGGAACCTTACAAAATCGTTCACAGGAGCTTTTTTCCTCCAATACGGTCGAGATATTTTGGAAAAAGTTTTTATTATTGAAAATACGGTAAGAAAAGGAAAATCTTGATGTCTGGCCGTTGTCTGTAGAAAACGAAGCGGTTTTGACATGCAATTTCACCTCATAGTAGTTTTAATCTTTTTAAAAACATGTGTGAAAGGTCGTGGAGATAGCCCTGCTTGATTGCTAGAATCGAAAGAAGGATTTGATTAGTATGTATCCGGGTACTCTTGTAAGCAAACATTTCGGTCTACTTTAACAAATTAGCGAATAATTTTAAACCGGTCGATAGATTTTTTAAAAGAATTAAGATTATTCTCGTTATACTACTACATGAGAAATTTCTGCAATTTGATTGGCTTAAAGCAGTGGTACGTATAACAATTTTGAAATATCACTCGTGGTATTTATGCCAAATATCACTACAAATCATGCTATTACCTATACTAATTCAAACTGAGAATTCAGTAGTCAGCGACTTCTTCATTGTCATACCCACTGCTAATGCTATCTGCCATACACTGTTCTTCGAGTGGAGATGATTCTAGAAAGTTATGCGAAAGTTTATTTTAATCAATTCACGACTGGAAATAGCCCATTCCAGCTAGTGCAGTGCAGTATAGTGCCCAACCATGAAAAAACTGCAAATATGTAAATTACTCATCACATGCTAGGCAACCGCTGTGATGTAACTGGATTATTACGCCGACTTCAGGTTAATATTCAGGTCTTCAAAATAAATAAATAAACATGGTGACGTCTTTAAAAACTGACTTTGCCCAAATTATTTCTCGCTGCCCAAAAAAATCTGAGTTGCCCAAAATTTGGGGGGGCTGCAGTCCCCTTCGCCCCCCCGGCCCGTACGCCTATGGAAACAGGTAAAAACTGGTACGAACCACCTGCACCCTTAACATGGATTCTTTATGGTAGTTAAATTAACTAAACTAAATTTCCGTCGACAAAGCCCATTTGTCAGCGGGTTGATCAATATTTGCAGGCCAACCCGGTGGGATCCCTGAATTAATCGTGACGACTGCGTAGGATTTTAATTGCAGTGTAAGAAAGCATGCGAAAATTACTTCAACATTAACATTAAAAAAAACCCTGAAAATACTTACTGTTTTTTCAGCTATAAAATTCTCTTATTTGAATTTGTTTTCAATCATGGTCCTGATTTCTCTCTTAGCCTGAGAAAACATCTGTTTCCCATCGGCGAAGAGCGAGGAGAAACGGATGTTTTCGCAGGCTATTTCTCTCTTTAATTGAAAAAATCTTCTCTCCGACTGTTTACGATGCTTTTAAAGGTTTTTAACAAACTAAACTATACATTTAATTTGTGTCATTGCGGTGAAAGCTATTGATCAATATTGCCTTGGATTAAAACAAGTCCAATTCAAGACTGCATCAACCGTTCGGGTCGAGGAAAATGAAAGACGAAGACAACACAATTTGCCAGTACCTTAGGCAATCTCACGTAAAGGTCACAATTACACACCTCAGTTGAGGAGAAAATTTAGTTGTGTTCTTGAGGACCAATTTAATTTACTTAACTTTAGTTTAGACAACTCTTAGTGTGGTCTTCCTCATTTAGAAAGGCCAGCTGGAATTGGAAAAAGGTAGCAGTATTAACGCAGAGTTTTATGTTACTTAGCGATAATCACTAGTATAGGGGAAATAAAGGCTCCTGATGAAACTGAACAGCGCTCACGCCAGCTGCACGCTGGTAGGTAAACAATCGCAAGACGCCTCGTGCGAGTTTTTCGTTTTTATATTTATTTTTTTTCTCAAAGAGTAAGTAAAATTCCTTGGAAGGGCAAAATCTTAGTTTTAAATTTTGAGAGTTTCGATAAAATTGGAAGGCTTTGAACCGAATTAGAACTATGCAAGGCATTTTCTATACAGTAAAACTCCATTACCTTCTAAGCAGCAGAAAGTTGACAAATTGACGGACTTGGGTTTGCGGTAATAAAGAATTTCTATATCATTGTCTCTTTTTAAGTCATCAAGTCACGGTCTAACCTCAGTTGAACTCTTTCTTATTTTCGTGGTTGAATTTCGGGCAGGGGATAAAAATTTCTAAATTTAATAATTGGGGTATCTGTCAAGTAAAGTGAAGAGTTGTGAACTGGTGTTCGAGTTTGTTATTCTCATTTACCCAGCGGCTAAATTTAGCCTGATTCAGATGATGGCCCTCAAAAGCTGGCTTGAGAAACCGGATACTATTTCTTCACGGCCGCCATTTTGTTTTCTCGGCATGTGCGGAACAATATTACACTTTGCACGAGTCCAATTTATTTTTTTCTTATCACAGTTAATTTATCTGATCGAGAAACTGAAAAGAGAACACATTGAAACTTTGCATATTTAAGATATAACCATGTCTATGAATCCAGCGGGTCGATCCTTCAACAAATGGTCATTGGTCTTTTTGAGTTCCCGCATCTCAGTTTACGACTACTTTTAAGAAAAGGGTTTTAGCTTTTATCGTTCATAATAATATTACCTTGTTTCTGGTTAATAAACTAGTGCTGTTTCTTACCTCAATTAAACGAACATAAACTAGAATTGCAGCTAGCACATCAACCATATGTTCGCGGTGTGTGAATAGTATTTGAATCAGTTGGGATTTCAGGCCCTGAGTTTCAGGTAAAAATGGCATCTGGGTTTCTGACCTTTAGTGCGAAGCTATTAAGGTGACTCGACCCAGTTGTTTTGTGAGGGTACCATCCTACTTTGAGGCTCTCTGGTTTCCCCACCTTTACTTTGATCATAAGTCTAACATATAGCATGGATAAAATTTTGATCAATCTTTAATATCCCACCCCAAAGAGGCGTGGCACTATGACCACGTGACATTTACTCCGATCGCCAAAAATTTTATGCTGTCTTGTAGATTGATCAAAATGTTACCCATGCTATATGTTAAAC